AACATCTTTACAAAGTTCGGTTTTTAGAATCTTAGCCGTCCTAGTAAAGGCACTGCGTGCCGTTGCACGCCTTTTCTTCAACATATCAACATCTATTTTTATATTTAAATGCAGACCCACTTAAAACTCAAAATCTGTAATGTTATCATCAATCCGACAAATCCTCAAAAACGTCTTTACTCAGCAATTCCAAAAATATAACTCAATATAATAAAAATGAATAACAATATGTCATAACATTCATAATTCAGCAAAACAAAATTATTTTGAATATCACAACAGAAGATTTAACGCATAACCTTTTCTACGTTTACACTGCAGACGATTTAGCGCATAGCATTTAAATTGAAAATTGAAACTAATTCGAATACAAATACGAAATTCAACATTGCAGACGATAAAACGCATTACGTTTCCAAATAACACTTAAATTAATATTTACTTCTACAACAATATAATATCAGCAAACACAATGCTTTCTCAACTATATTAATATAATAATCCCAACACATTCGAATCAGGATCGCAATCCTAGCAGGCTCGCCACTTTGTTATGTCGTGGAGCAAAAACAATTTTACTTTACACCTGACTGCCACTGGCTCCGACATAGCAATGTGAATACTCTACATCTAAAATTTTAAAACACCATTCCAGAATTTTAAATGTTTATTTAATAGAATTCTATTCATATATTCGCAAGTTATACACTATAAACACAATAACAAAATTTGAACTTATCTGCACCAGCGTGAATAAGCCTGGCATAATATTCTGAACTCGACGAAATTTTAGGAGGAAAATACCGCAAGTTCAAACACAAGGTTTCATCCTTTCCAACGCAGCTAATTTTATATATATTTTACTAATATCCGCAGCGGGACAGCGGATTCCATTTCATTCACCCAAAACTCAAATGTTTTAACGCAATAGTATCGCAAAGGAAACATCGACTCAAAAAAAAATATTAAAATCTATAGAATATCATCCGCTGTTGCCATTCCAGTACTGCCAAGTTTTTCTTCCTGCAGCTGTTGCCAGACTTATCCTCGCATTATGATGAGAGGTACAACATATATGATCCATTTGGGAAGACTACATTTCCTGTCTCAAGAAATGTTCCATTCCTGAACTGTTAGATGTCTGTACGACATTTCGGCTAATTAAATCAATTTAGCATTTTTTAGAATATACGTAACTCTTTACATGAACAAAATTAAAAGCTGAAATACTGCTTTAGGTTTAGTAGCGTAACCATAAAAAAATAGAAATAAAGTTTTTAAAGACTGAAAGAGTTCATTTTATATTCACAATGTGGGGTTTTGTACTGTTTAACTGTTACAGTTAATTCAAAGTGATATGCAATGCATGCAGATGAACTACGTATTTGAAAATTCTTGAACGTACGTCTCGTTCGTACGTCTTTGAAAATTCTTGAAGAATGATATTATAATAACAGTTTAATATCTATCTCATATACAGAAGGAATTTTTTGAAATAACGTCACTGAATTCACAGTTTCAAAAGGATCTCACAACTAAATATCTCTTAAATTGTTGGTTGTAGACCCGTTGTTTCATTTTAATAAATTAGTGAAATAACGTAAGTCTTCAAACTACAGAAGATTTTTCACATGATACTTTGAAATAAAAATACACTAAATTTAAATTAAAATTAAAATTTTGTACGCTTTTCATAGAGAGAAAAAGTGAATGAGAAAAATTTTTCCATAACCGAATTAGCAAAAACAAAGCAAAAATATTATCCTTATATGACACATTTACTGGGATGTCATTAAATTAAAGTTTTAGAAAACCGTACACAAATACAGGTTAACAGAGCTACTCATAAAATTAGCAAATAACAACCTTGTGTTTGACGTAGATTTAGTCAAGAAATCAATCGATTTCGAGGGCAAACAGGTACAGGTCCATTCTTGCTCCTCCATCTGTTTCCTCCTTCATCATTTGCTTGCTCATTCATCATTCTTCTTGTTCCTTCATCATCACTGAATCTACTCGTTCCTTCCTCAGGAGCAAGCAGATTTCTTTGCTTCTGATAAAGAGGGACCTGTGCCTGTTTCCCTCGAAATCGATTGAGTTCTTGACTAAATCTATACCAAACACGAGCTTGTTGCTTTGCTAGTTTTGTGTTTCACTTTGGCGTGTTTCTCTTTTATTTTGAGAGTTACACATGTTTAAGTTTTCGAAAGCAGATTTCTTGAAGATACGTTTATCGATCGAAAAACATCAGTTTGAGATCTTTCGTTTAAAACTGCTATTTATAAAAAGTCCAAAATCCAAATTTTGTATTTTATGAATTTTAATTTTATTCTTCTAAAACTGACTCTTATTCATTTAATAAGATGGCTTAAATCATGTAATTTTCAAATGTAAACTTCCTTCTTAAAAAATATCATTCATTGGGATAAGGAAGAACTTACTGGTTGGAATAGTCTTCATACAGAAACCGTACAAAAATTTAAACTGAATCAATTTTTATTAAAAGTTGTCACGTGACGAAAAATGTCATGGAAACCTACCTTGTTTGATTGATTTCTTAAAGTGAAGCCATGGTTCTTCGAACAACTTTTCAATCCATACTCCATCAAGTAATTTTTCAATACATTATCATAAAAGTTAAAACAATATAAAAGTCCAAACTAAAGTAAATAAATTTTGGAATTTTATCATTAGAGAGAAGTAATTGCCGAGATTTACTTTAGCGAATGGTAAAAGGTAGTTCAGATTAAGATTTTTAAATAAAGTTAGCAGAGACGTTAGGTTACTTCGAAGCAGGAGACATGAAAAATGAGCAATACCCTCGCCGGCACTCGAACCACGGACCTCTCGAATACGCGCCGAGCGTGCTGGCTATTACACCATGAAGGTGTCAGCCAGCATAAGGCCAGGTCATAAGGATTACATCTGAGACGAGCAATATGTTCTCTAGCATTATCTCAAAGTCATACAACCCATTAGGCATCAGGGTATAAAGCTATTTATTCACACTTACATATACATTAGAAAGGCCAATTTGTTATTTGAACAGAGATCTAACCAAGCCCATTAAATATGCTCACTCTCAATTTTATGAAGCTTCCGAAATAAACGTGAGAATGCATGTAAAATGCCCAAACATACAATTTTTGACGTGTCATAAAGTTCCTTTATATGTATTTAATAATATATACTAAAATCATTTGCCATAAAATTACGTGAAGTAATATATTTTTGATTTGTCTATTGTGTGGACATTCTAAGAAAAACTTTCTCTGAGGACTAAGGACATTTGTGAGGACATTCTAAGGAAAATTTTCTCGTACCAACGTTACATTGTGGGAAAAACGCCTCTGCAGCCTCCCCGTTCTCCTGCAATTGATCACAGATCAAACTACCAGGGTTCAGCAGTTTTCCCACTGATTTGCTGGTGGGCACGTGAAATAGTCAAAATCCAAAATAAACGAAGCGTTCTCTTTACTTTAAGACATTGATTAGCGGGAACTGCGTTAATGAATGCTATAAATGGAGTCGCGGCGAATTAAATTATAGTCGTCAAGAAAAAAAATTCATTACAATTTTGAAAAGTTGATAACATGTAAGCATTTTATGTAAGTCCTACGCTATAACATTTAGGCAGATTTAGCAAATAATATATTTCTTTTGAAATTATAAGCATAATTTTCATGCTTGGGCTTATGCTGTTTTCCCAAGAATATAAAAATTAGGCAGAGTTTTAATCTCCTGCAAAACAGGAAGGCGGGACGCTATCTTTCACCTCCCTGGAAATATAAGCAAAAAATGTAATCTGTACTGTCAACTCTGTAATCGCAAATTTTGAAACACAAATTCAGTTCAATGCAATTACTAGAAACCTTTATCAAAGTAATTTTAGAGCACACTTATAACTAATTCGAATTGAGATAACAGTAGCATAACGATGTTTATACTTGAAATGTTTTCATGTGCACTCATTCGGCAGGCATGTTTTCGTGCGGAAAGAATGATTTCAGGGCGAAAAGAATAAAATATTTACTGTAAATAATTTAAAATCTAAAGTTATATTTTTATGATCTATAATGTTTCAAGAATATTTCAACGGCTACTTGAACTTTGGCAGCAAATGAACTTGAAAAGTTCTGTTAAAATGAAGTACGTGTTTTACTTCTTCAAGGTTTTTGTTATCAGCCCCTTCGCAAAGTTTATACTCATAGTTTAAAACCAAAAACGTAACTTCTAACAAGTTGCCCACTTCGGTCTAAGAAATCATCTTGTTTAGAGCCTTAATTTTGATTATTCGCATGAAAATTTCTTATATAATTGGGGACTGCAAACATTTGTTGGATTGCCAAAAACTGGAAGTTATTGCAAGCCGACAGCTTTTCTTTTTTTATATGTTCTTTTTCTTTTTAAGCTTTATAAATTTAATAAATACAATACTCGAGACTTTAGAATTATCTACGACTTCTTACGTAATAATATAACCTTATTTTTATTGTAATCAAACATAGAACCTCATAAAGTGCATCTACGACTCAGTACGATTTTTTCTTATTTTTACAAAAATAAAAAAGCCTGCTATTTACTCACAGCGTTAAAATTTATTGCATCTTAAACAACAAAGTAGGCTCGTTTTTACTACTGGAAAAACGAAACACACTGAAATGCATTTATGGCACTGTAAATTTTGGGTTTCAACTGCTGCGGAAACGAACCGAATCGCATATGAAATCTATTGACAAAACAATGTATCTGATAATGTTTGAAATTAAGTGTTAGAAAGATTTTGAACTAGGTAAATTGACATTAATGACAAACTGCCTCGAGAAAAACCGAAAGAATTTTAGCACGATGAACTGCATAATTTTTTTTATAACAAAACAACACAAATAAGACTCGGAAAACGAATTTGGAATATGTATGGTTGTCTTAATTTGAATAAAATAAATGTATTTAAATATCCGAATGAATTTTGAAATGTTAAAAAATAAAATATATCTCACCTCCACATGTGAGGACTGAATCCAGAGCACTTGTCCCGGCAGCTGAGACATGGTTGGCCTTCGTCCACTTCCTGCACCAGCACGCCCTGCGGAAATACAAGCATTACACTTATCCATACGCAACGTTCTATCGTTTAGAATCAGAATACTCGTACTTCCCTTCTCCCTAATACCGAGCTTCACCCTGGGTTCTTTTCTGAAAATCAGACTGCAAAACCTACAGCTACTGCATAGCGATTCACATTAAATTGTGCTCGAAACAGAATTATTCTGTCAATTCACGCTAAACCAGGCAATAAAAAAGCCATTTAAAATAAATTCCAATGTAAATCTTTTTTTATCTCTTAAAGGTTCAATTTACTTCAAGAGCTCTAATTTAATGTGCTACATTTTGTTGAAATAGTTTCTCTCTAATTCAGTAGAATCATCTGTTGAAAGTAGAACTGATTGCTAAAGTTGTCTGTAAAAAGGATCTTTTAAAGAAAAGACTACTGCAACAAATAAACGCAAGTTTAAATCCTAGAGAACGTAATATAACTATATTTTATTGATTGAAACTCTTCGTGAATGCATAGTCAGCACTGTTAGCATGCATACAGATGCTTATTTAATTTTTTCGGCAATACTTAATGCTTTACGGAATGCTTAATTTTACTTTTTTAATGAAGTTTTATTGCATGCGGAAGTTTCTTGAATTTATTTTGATTCATATGATTAAAAATGAATTTAAATATATATATATATATATATATCATATATTTAAATATATATATATTTAAATTATATTTAATTTATTTCCTAAACAGTATTGATTAATTGATTATATTATCTCCTAAGTTTAATTAAAGTAAAATTATTTTAAAAGTGTGCATCCATACTGGTAAGTTATATTTTGAAAGATCTGAATGACCAATTTTATATATACAGGGTTATCCAAATTAAACTTCCCCAACTCAGAGGCCTGTGCAGAGTGTTGTGTGGGTCATAATGTAATGAAATTTTAAAAACAGACACTTAAGATCATGCGCTCGAGATTTATTAAACAAAAAAAATTAGTACAAGAAGTTGCCGACATGTGGCGCTGCAGATCAACAAGAGCCGTGGTTCTCCACAACTCTTTCCATTCGCAAAGCAGTGTGTTCCACAGCGGAACGCAGTAAGTCCACATTAATTCCACGAACATGTCGAATAATTGCCTCTTTCAGATGTGCCAAGGTTGCTGGGTGTTCTAGACCCGATCCTTTAAGAATCCCCATAACCAAAAGTCGCATGGCGTGAGATCAGGCGAGCGGGGGGGGGCCAAGTTGTAGGGAAACAGCGGCTGATCACAGGTGCATCGGTAAAAGTTGCCCGTAACACCTGTTGAACGCCACGAAGAATATGGCGAGGTGCACCATTCTGCATAGGTATCGTGTCCTGGACGCGGCCACGTTGTTGCAGTTCAGGGATCGAAACGTTGTCAACATATCCTGATACCGTTTTCCTGTGACAGAGCAGGTTTTGAACCCTGTTGGAGTCGGTGTCCGCCGATAACATCGCGGCAAAAACATCGCGGACGAAAATGTCGCGGAGAAAACAACGCAAGGCGAAAACATCGTGCTACAAAACATCGTGGGAGAAAACATCGCAAAGAGAAAATATCGCAGTCCTAAAACATCGTGGTACAAAACATCGTCGTCGAAAATAAAGCGGTTCCAAAAACTTCGCAGTTTAAAAACATCGTCGTCAAAAATATCGTGGTAAAAAATAAAGTATCTCAAATCATCGCATGACGATAACATCGCAGACATGCTTTTTCCATACATGCTTTAATAACTGTAAATGAATATTCCCATAAAGATTTGTGAGCGCAAAGAAGGATAATTTTTACTTTCACATTTTTTATTAACTAATAAATTTTTTCTGAAAAAAAGTAAGAAGGAAACTTAAGCATAGAAAATTAAATGCAACTTATAGATTATACTTTTCACGAAAAATTACCAGTAAAAACTTTATAAAAAATTATTTATTAATGGCCTTTGTTAGTTAACTATGTCGGTTTAAAATTCTATTAATTGCTATAAGTTGCATTAATTTGCTATGCTTAAGTTTCCTTCTTACTTTTTCAGAAAAAATTTATTAGTTAATAAAAAAATGTGAAAGTAAAAATTATACTTCTTTCCATTTTGCGCTCACAAATCATTATGGGAATATCCATTTACAATTTTTAACGCATGTTTGCGAAAAGCATGTATGAAAAAAGCATGTCTGCGATGTTATCGTCATGCGATGATTTGTAGATACTTTATTTTTAACACGATATTTTCGACGACGATGTTTTTAAATTGCAAAGTTTTTGAACCGCTTTATTTTCGACGACGATGTTTTGTACCACGATGTTTTAGGACTGCGATGTTTTCTCTTTGCGATGTTTTCTCCCACGATGTTTTGTAGCACGACGTTTTCGCCTTGCGTTGTTTTCTCTGCGACGTTTCCGTCCGCGATGTTTTTGGCTGTAACCGTTGGAGTCACCTCTTTTAAAAAAAAAAAAAAAAAAAAAAAAAAAAAAAAAAAAAAAAAGCCCAATGACGAATGATGCAGTGAAACCGCACCATACAGTAACCTTTGGAGGGTTCAAGAGCCCTTGATGGATTGCGCGCGAGTTTCAGTTGCCCCAAATGCGACAGTTGTGTGTATTCGCTTGACCATTCAGGTGAAAATGGGCCTCATCCGTCCAAAGGATGTTCCACGGCCAAGCAGCATCGACTTCCATTCTGGCAAGGAACTGCAACGAAAATGTTTCCCGAACTACAGGATTCCCGTTGGACAGCTGATGGCGACTATGGACTTTGTAAGGAAAATAACCGAAGATTCGACGCATCACACGCCAGACGGTCGTATAGGGCATATCAACATTACGAGAAACAGTTGGCACACTGACAACACCATATGGCGATTGGCTAGTGGTATCCACGATAGCCAAAGCAACATCTTCTACGCGTGCACATTCCACAACCTGTTGTCTTCTACCTGGTAAAATTCCCAGCTGTCCCGTTCTTTCGAACTTCTTCATCATGTCTCGTAGAGCGCATGGTGTCATTGGTCCTCGGCGTAAGATCTTCAGCCGACGGAATGCTCTTATCGCAGCACAGGATTTCTCGTCATTCTGATAGAAAAGTTTCAGAGCTTTGTCTTTCAATGTCGCCATTGTGCATCAGCGAGCTGGAAAAAACTGCCTGTGCAAGGCCTGTCTTCCACTTTTGTAGGGCTCGTCTTTTGGATACGTTGTGCAGAAGCTTTATTTCTGCAAATCACGTTGCTGCAATATGCACATTACTAGTGTTACAGCGCCACCTATCGGCAACTTCTTGTACTAATCTTTTTGTGTAATAAATCTCGAGCGCATGATCTGAAGTGTCTGTTTTTAAAATTTTATCACATTATGATCCATACAACACTCTGCACAGGCCTCTGAGTTGGGGAAGTTTAATTTGGATAACCCTGTATTTTCCGTTAGAATACAGCGTAACTGTTTTTGGTAATCTAATATTCTCTGCGTATTATAGCATAATGATATATAGATATAACAATTTCCAAAATACAATTCATATATTCAAAACAAATTTATGATACATACCAAATAAACAGAACTGAATAATACATGTTAAAAGAGATCTAAGCCGCCCAACCGCTATAGTGGTTAGCGATTTATCAAAGTTAACTTATGCTTCCTTTTGGCATAACATATGTTACGGTGAAACACCGAAATCTGGAGAATGTCGACTTTCACCGGTGAATGTCAACATTCACATAGTCTCTTGGTGTATGTCCGAAATATTTTCCAAATACTCTTATTTCTGACTTACTCCGGTCAATGTCGACATTCACCATGTACTAATGGTGAATGTTAAACATATAACAATATTATATTTTCTTCTCCGTAATTCAGTCGCGAATAAACGCACTTGAAACTTGAAATAAGAACTTAAGAACATGAGAACCTAAAACCCACAATACATTCAAATGGAGAAAGGAAAATAATAGAAGTTAAAACTTACTTAATTATACAGTACGTTCTAAATGAGAAAATAAAATAACAGTAATAAAAAACTTACTAAATTACGTGATTCAAATCTTATTTATTGCAACAACTTAAACTATTATGACACTTTATGACCTCTCTTTTCGACTTTCACCAGAGCATATCTGTGATTGTCGACATACACCGGTGAGGGTCCGAATATACAAGAATATAGTGAAATATTCGGTCTTTCCCCGACGTATTTGGTGAATGTTGACATTCTCCGGTGAAAGTCGACATTCTACAATTTCGGTCTTTCACGGTAACATATACATCTTTTGAGACGACGGAATCTAGTCAGGGAATACTGCTAATCTAAAGCAGCTCAGAAACAACAGCATGTAAGGGGAATAGATCATATCATTAATGAAGCTAGCTCATCGTACCAGAGCTGTGCATATGGTTGATAACATAGATGTTTTGCGTTCTAAAGTCTCTACAAGATCACGCACAGTTACATTTTAAGTCCGAAGTTATTCGCCCCCCAAAATCTTTCTGGTCAAGGCGAAATTCGCTATCATAGCTGCCGTCACACAGCCTAGATTTGTAGATATAGCAAACAACCAGAAAGCCTCTACTCAAAAACGCACATCAGAGTCATGCTTAAACGATGCATTTAGCTCCAATGCATTTTAGAGTTGCCTCATAATTTCCCTTTATAAACACTCCATAGAAAATGTTTCGGAAGCACTAAGGGGAAGAGATTTTGCATGGAGTTCTAAAATGTCCGAAACTTCTCCAGCAACCCAAATAATTCAGGCAAAGCATATTCTTCATTCTAGCTTCGACAGACATCATCCCGGAAGAGGAAAACACAGGGTTGTTTATTTCTCTTATTTTACCATAGCCTCACGAGGATTTTCTGCTTAAGATCAGATTAATTTTAAGAGCATATTTTTGTAGACATACGATGACATAAATAAGAAAATTAACATTTTCTAACATTTTTTATTAAAAATATTTAATAAATTTACATGCATTGTTAATTCATACGACATTTTAAATAGTTTTTGTCAGTTTTTGTCA